TCTCTCTCTCTCTCTCTCTCTCTCTCTCTCTCTCTCTGTATTTGCTTAAGGGTCTCGCTATGCAGGTAAGACTCATAGTGATCCTCCTGTTTCAGCTTCCCCAGAGCTGGGATTACAGACATACCACCACACAGCAGCCCACATGGGGCGTCTGGGGTGGGATAGGCACAGCATGTCGTACCGGGGATCGAACACCGGTCCTTGCATTTGCCAGGCAGGCACTTAGACCACTGAGCTATCTCCTTGGCCTCAGAATCAGCATTCTCTGAGGATCTAAAATGCACTATGAGACTTGCAATGCAATTTCCCTTTAACATACATTTTCTAATTCTCTCTTATAGATGATGGCTCCAAGTTGGCATCTTAGCTAAGGTTGCACAGCTAATTGTAAAACCTAGGCTTGTCACCCTAAAAGGCTCCAGTCTCAAACACAGGATCCATTACTTCCTACTTCTTTGATCTTGGTTTCAAGGCATTCAACTCAAGCATCACATTTGCCCACGCAACTAGAAGTGTGGCAAGAATTTGGCAGGACGCCAGCAGCATACTAGTGGCTGAGGGTATATTATGTCCCTCAGGATCCAATACATTGCCACAAGCTTTGAAGACAGCATTTTGGGGTAGGCTGTCATTTGTGCTGTTTCTCCTTCACTTATGCAGCACGGTGGCACTGTCATTGAGTTGCCAGTGACACAGCTTTTCAGGAAAGTCTTTGGCATTTCAGGAGAATAGCACAGTAAGGCCACTGAAAGGAGAGCGTCACCCAGTAAACAAGAAAATCAAAGCAGGTGGGCCAGCCTTGTTTGTCACTGTGACAAAAGCTACAGAGATGAGGCACAGTGCTGACCTGTGAGTCTAGGAAGTCACTTGGGGCTTCCCTTTCAATTGTGATGAGATGCTACAGGCCTTGCGTGTGAAACACTTTTAAGAAGTTCTTGCATGAAAAACTTTCATTTACACAGATTGAAATGTATGGGTAGGTTTTTAGTCTATTTTCCAATGAAGGATCAGACATATAGGCTAAAAATTAGAGGCAGCACTCATGAAATATGATGTGAAGATGGCTGCATTTGCTCAGTGACTAAAAAATGTGAGACTCTTAGAACATGGTGCTCAGGTATCAATTTTGAGATCCAAAAATTTGAAGCCAAAATAAAAAGAAAAATTCATAAGATTTGCCCAAATCTCCATATTAACCATTTAACAACATTAGTACCCTCTATCACATAGGTACCTCATTCTATTACCCTACAGTGAATGGTGATCTTGCCCTCAAAACTACAAATGCAAATCCCTATCACCATTTTATCAAGAAAACTCCCCTTCTGAAGATGACCAAGGATTGTGAAAATTAAATGTCATGAACCTTTGGCTGGCTGACTACCACCATGCTTTCTTCATTACCACATTTTCTTTTTTTCATTTAAGCACCTAACATGTAGTAATCTTTAAATATCTAAGATGAAATGTTGATAAGTTTTGATAACCAAGAAATGATTCCTGGCCAGATAATTCAGCAGACTGAAGTGCCTGCTTAGGCAGAAGCAGGGACTGAGGTTTGATCTCCGCCCCCAGGGCACGGGCTGAGCCAGCTATTGAGACTGCGCATGGTGGTGCGCACCTGTGATCCCAGTGCTTGGGTGTCTGAAAACAGGAGAATCTGATCTGTGTAGTAAGACTCTGCAGACCCTGTATTAAATACCTTAAAAAAAAGAAATGAGCACTGTATTAAAGACAACATATCTATCATCTCAAAAAATACCTTTTTTCTCATTTTTAATCATTGGGTTCCAACATTCTCTATACCCAGGAAACCCCAGTACAGTTTTATATCACTACAGCCTACTAAGCAGCTTTAAAACTGCATAGAAGTAGAATCGTACAATGTGTAATACATTTTCTGACTTCTTGCACTAAGGATGATTATTGCGAAGCTCACCAATTTTTTTTTTTTTGTGTGTGTGTAACAGATTATTTTTCACTGACAATAATCCATTGTAGGATTCTACCACAATGACTTTTAATTAATTAATTATCTATTTATTGCAGGACCTGGGATTCAAACTACCACAATGATTTTTGGCCATTGATCTGATGGACATTTCAGTAGCTTCTGGTCTGGAGTTACATTACAAACAAAGTTGCTAAGGACGTTCACATCCAGCTTTGTGTGGAAGTATACTTTCATTGATTTTTTTTTTCTTCAGTACGAAGGATTGAACTCAGGACTTTGCCCATCTCCCCGGCCCCTTTTGTTGATCTTGAGTCATAGTTTAGGGACAAAATGACTGTACTACCTAGTAGATGGGCATTTTCACCATTTTCCATTTCTATTTACAGTAACACGACAAGTTGCTGTTGCTCCATACTCTCACTCATGGCAGATTCAGAAGGTTTAATTGCCCTAATTGTAGACATTCTAATGGTGTGTGACTGTATCTTATTGTAGGTTTAGTTTGTATAGTGCTGATTATGCTGAGTATCTATAACAGTGCTAAGGTGGAGGTAGCAGACACAGAAGGAAAACTAGCTAACCACGCCTTGCACAGCTCAGCCAGAGCCTGTGTCAAAATACACGGCAAGCTGGGTGTGATGGGAGCACACCTGTAATCCCAGCTCTCAGGAGGCTGAGGCAAAAAGATCACTGCAAATTCAAGACCAACCTGGGCTACAAAGTGAGCTCAAGGCCAGTCTGAATTGCATAGTGACACCCTGTCTCAAAAATATTTAAGAGAGAGAGAGAGAGAGAGAGAGAGAGAGAGAGAGAGAGAGGGAGGGAGAGAGGAAAAGAGCAGTGGGTAGAAGAGAGAGAGAAAGAATCTGGAGTTGTAGCTCAATTCATAGGCCCTGGGCTCAATCTCAACTTTCCCAAACTCCGTA